CCCCCCTTCCTAGTTTCTCTGTTCATTCACGCTCCTCGTCGCTGTCGGTGTTGCTGAGCCTGTTGCTGCCCTTCTCGCCGCCTCCAGGTCCAGTCGCGTCACTGTGCTCTTCTTTCCCTCGCCCACTTCCCTGCCCGCAGAGCTTTTGACCAGCCTGGGCCAGCTGTCTCTTTTCCAGGCGGAGTTGGCTGCATCCTCTCCCACCGCTGTCCGGTAGTAGGACTGGAGTTTACTCTCAAAAGTGTTAGTACAGTATGTATATAGCATAAAGGGACTCATAACAAATAAATATGTAGAAATATAATGTGATTAAAAAATGTTTTCCTAATTTCTAGCCATTTACATTCTCACTGACATACTGTTGCACTTTTATTGAGCACATCTCAGTCCTTGGAGTCTCAGACCAGCAGAGACTCCCTGTGCCTGGAGAAGGGTGGTTGCACCTAGAAGCTTACAAAGAACTTTGTTCCAACTACGCAGTTGGTCTAATGAAAGATATCCCATCTACCCAAAGAACCACGCCTACCTATATCCTTACACCAATACAGCTACGACCAGAAACCCAGTAACTCCCCCAGATATACAGAGAGTCCTAGAAAACAGCATTTCTCACCTGTGAGTCATAGCCCAAAGGGACTCATAACAATATACAAAAGGGTTGTGAATAAACTTTAGAAATGGTTTCTCCCTTAAAAGGAAAAAAAAAAACAAAACATTGAAAATGGGAGCTCTTCCCTTGCAGAGTTCCAGCCAGAAGGGCCGACCAGCTCCACACACCCCATCCTGCCTCACATGCTGTGAAGTTACTGTCTGGGGGTGGGGGCACTACGCGAGACTGGCCCTGGATGTTTACAAGTAGGTCCTGGTACAAAAATGTTGAGAACCACCATCATTTAAAAACAAAAAAAACCCAAAAAATACACCTCACTGTGGGAAGTCCTTGCCCCTCACATTATTTCTGGACCTTCCGGGCTACATCCTTCTTATGCTAAATAAATCTTAGCATGAAAGGAGAATTTAAATAGTGCCAATATTTAAAAAAAAAAAAAGGGAGGGGGGGGTTAAATAGGGGTTGATCCAGGCAGTGGAAAGCAACTTGGCCCAACATCAATGCTGGACAAGAGAATGGAAGAGCTGGTTGAGGATCACCTGGATGAAGATTTAAAGAATGGGAATAAAGCTGATATCAGTCCCTGATGCTGAAGGAAAAACAGCTTTCTGAAAACTTTAAAACTGACAAAGTGCATAAAAGTAATATGCTCAGACTCTCAGGTGTTTGACTAAGCACCACAGGAAATTCAGATTGAAGCCTTTCACTATAATAGTAATAAAATACATTACATAAAGAATTAGCCAACACAGTGGGAGTGAATTTTCTTTTTGTTAAAAAAAAAAAAAGAAAAAAATCTGAAAGTACATGAAATCACTGTTGATAGAAATTGCAGATTAGGAACAGCAGAGCATAGCTGTAATTAATAGGGAATCATGGTTTTGTCCGTTTAAAAATTACAAATTCTGTTAAAATGCTCAGAGTTCACATTTTTCCGTGATTAAAATGAAATGTCACTATATATTTAAGCATCAGTTGAACACATTTTATTGATATGTTTACAATTTTAAAGCAAGTTGGAAGCCTACCAGTGCCTCAAATCACTATAATAAATTCTAAATACCTATAAATTTTGGCATATGATTTGGGGTTTATTATAGAAAAATCAGAGTTCATGGAAAATCAGGGCTGGGTGGGCACCCCCTGGCCACCCAGCAGTAGTGAGGGGCACAACTGCACCACCATTCCCACTACAGCCAGGCAAGCAAGGGGCACTGTCATGGCAGCATAGGGCTTGCAGCAGCAGCACTGAGCCTCCCCATCCTGCTCTGCCCTGCCATATCAGGCCCTGCCTGCCCCCCTGCCCCCGGATGAGCCACCCATGGCTCCATCCCACTCCCTACCTGGGCCCAAACCATTTTAATATAGCCAAATGCAAAATTATACATTAAAGGATCAAAGAATACAAAATGGGGCACTACCTGGAAAGCAGCAACTCTGAGAGGTTTAAGAGTCACAATAGATAAGTTACTAACATAAGCTTTCAGTACTATGTTATGGTCAGAAGAGCTAATGTGATTCTTAGCTGGATGAACAACAGTGTACTCACTGAGGTAATTTTGTGAGCAACACTGGGAAAATGGATACTGGAATATGCTGCCCTATTCTGGAGTGACACATTTAAAATAAGGCACAACTGTTAGGTTCCTCTCTCTCTCTCTCTCTCGCTATTTTCAGAACACATCTAAGTAACTTTTTGGAAAATATGCTTTGATCAGTTGCATAATTTATAAGCCATTTAGGCCAGAGGCTATTTTTATTCTTGGGTTTGTACCATGACTAGTACTAAAAGGTACTGTAATTTATAGCTGACATTACAACGTACTTAATTACTCCCATCTTGAAACCTTTATGCAATCAATGGTATTAAACACTTCATGCTGTCAACAGGTCCCAGAAATGTGGGAGTTTGACATCTAGAAGCTGGGGCGGGGGGGGGG